TCATGCCTGTAATCCCAGCACTTCAGGAGCGTGAGCAGGTGGATCACCAGAGGTTAGGAGTTTGAGACAAGCTGGCCAACACGGCGAAACCCCGTCTCTGCTAAAAATACAAAAATTAGCTGGACGTGGTGGCAGGCACTTGTAATCCCAGCTACCTGGGAGGCTGAGGCAGGAGAATCGCTTGAAACTGGGAGGTGGAGGTTGCAGTGAGCTGAGATCATGCCACTGCACTCCAGCCTGGGCTACAATAGAGCAAAATAAAATAAATAAAACAAAACAAAACAAAATAAAATATAAAAAGTAGTGAAACCAGGACTTGGACTCGAGGCTAGTTCTAATGCACATGCTTTCAACTTTCAGATGGCTCTAGTCACTGCTTCACCCTGTTCAGATGCACAGAAATCTTGTGTTGTCCCTGATGATACTCTTGCTCAGCCCTCCCTCTGCAGAGATGGCTTTGACAGCCCCACACCTACAGTCCCCAGTTTCTCTTCTGAGCTGTGCTAAGGTCAGATATCCAATGCCCTTTGCGTTAGGGACTCCACCAGCACACCTCACGGAATTTTTAAAGCTTAGCATATAGTAGATTTAATGGTCAAAACAGTAGGATGGGAAAAGAGATTGAAATTGGACTTGAGACCATCAGTCCAAGAGGCACTGCTTTTCTTTACATGATCCTAGAACAACTGCCCACTTTGGGCGTTGTCAGATTGGCTAAATCTTATTTCTAATCTTGGTTGTCTATGCCATAAGCAGGGATGGTGGTGGTGGTAGGGGTGTTAATGAGGGGAGGTTGTAATGTGTGCTGTGAACTCTGAAGTGTTCACATGGTAAGCCCCAGTGCACAATGTAAGCATCCCTTTATTCAAAGCAATACTGAAATACAGTCATGGTTCCGTGATGATATGCAGATCTTCTTTACAGGTGTTGTTTAATCCCAAAGCTGTAACCTTATAATTTAAAGCCCTCAAGTAAGACATTCTTACTGGGATGTCCCCCAGGTGACTTGAACTTGACAAATCCAGTCTGGACCCCCAGCTCCCCTCTCTGCTCCGTCATCTTCAGTACTACCTGTCTCAAAAATGAGCGTCATTATCTGCCCAGACTCTGAAGTTAAAAACCTTTTCCTCACTTCCCATGTGGGTCACAAACTGTGTCTGGAAAATCCCTTTTACAGCCCTTCCCCTCTCTGTCCAAAGTTCACCCTCTTGGGTGAAGACTTTGGCATTTTTCACCCAGTATCTTGGTTTCCTGGCCTGCTCTCCTCCATCACCGTCACCCACTCACGGTCTTTCTAGACCTCAAATCAGTTACTGTCATGTTGTTTCCCAGATCCCTCCTTCATGCTCAGCTGCCCTCCAGAGAGACCCCAAGTTCCCCAACAGGGAGGCTCTCTCATTCCTGGTCTGGGCAGACCTAATATCCAGACAGGTCTCAGGCAAATCCATGCCTGCACCTTATTCCTCAGGAGGCTCAACTTCTCAGCCTTCCTCAGCAGAGCGAGGAGGAGCCCTCATACAATGCTGCTTTCATCTCCAAGGCTGCCTCACTTCCCTTGCTCAGGGGACTAACTCCTAAGCATCCTCAAGACCCACTCATTTGTCACCCTACGAATGATGTCTTCTATGTCCCTGAACTAGTCTTTTCTCTCTAGGGGTGTGTGTGTGTATGTGTGTGTATGTGTATGTATATGTATATGTATATGTATATGTATATGTATATGTATATGTATATGTATATGTATATATATGTATATTTGTATATGTGTATGTATATGTATATGTATATGTATATATATGTATATTTGTATATGTATATGTATATGTATATGTATATATATGTATATTTGTATGTGTATGTGTATGTGTGTATATATTACTCAGGCTCAAAAATTATATATATGTACAAATTATATATACATATATATATAAAACTCAGAATTATATATATATATTATACATATATAATATATATTTATTATATATAATTAATCATATATAATATATATTATATAATTTATTATATATAAAAACTCAGAATTATATATATTATACATATATAATATATAATATATATTATATATAAAATATTTATTATATATAATTTATTATATATAAATATGTATTAAATTATATATAATTTATATATATATTATATACATTATATATATTATATAATATATATACACGTATATATAAATTTTATATATTATATAATATATATTATATATAATTTAATTATATATAATAAATTATGTGATTATATATATTTATAAATATATATAATTATATCAATTATATAATTTAATATATATAATAAATTATATATGTAATTTATTTTATATATATGTGTGTGTATGTGTATATATATATATATAAAACTTTTTTTTGAGACCAAGTTTTGCTCTTGTTGCCCAGGCTGGAGTGTAATGGTGCAATCTTGGCTCACCACAATCTTCACCTCCTGGGTTCAAGTGATTCTCTTGCCTCAGCTTCCCAAGTAGCTGGGATTACAGGCATGCACCACCACACCCAGCTAATTTTGTATTTTTAGTAGAGACGGGGTTTCTCCATGTTGGTCAGGCTGGTCTTGAACTCCTGACTTCAGGCCATTGGCCCACTTTGGCCTCCCAAAGTGCTAGGATTACGGGCATGAGCCACCACTCTCGGCTTTCTCTAGGTATTTTTTACCCCCACCACTTACATATTCATTCAAATTCCATGCATTCATTCGTGAATGTTCATTGAACCAGATCTGCAGAAAGTGCTGGGTATGGAGGTGAGAGGCCATCCTTTAAAGGGCTCAAAGTATCAGTGGGGAGAGAGGTGAGGTCACAAAGCCTGAGAGCACAACATGAGAGGCTCATGTCCTACCTGCTCAGGTTCTAGGTCTCTTCAGGTGCAGCTCAGTCATCAGCTTACCCCTCTGAACTATGTGCTATGTGATATGTATATACTTTTTGCAAGCAACTTTGAAAAATCATGATGAAGTATAGACAGAAAAGATGGCAGATTCTAGTGCCAACTGGAAGGTGAGAGAGTTGGGTGCTGTGAGGAAAGTGGAATCTCTGAACTTGGACCTTTCTTGAGGAATTTGGTGAGCCCTGGACCTAGAGGCAATAAGACACAGTGGGCACACACTAAAGTGGGCATTGGAGCCCTGGTTCTGGGTCCTGGTGGGAGTCCTATCATCAGGTCCCATCATCAGACTCTTTGGCCTGACAAGATAATTAGATTTTTGTCTTAGGCATTGTCCAGTGGCTTCTGTGCTGTAAATATTTTATGACTCTCTCAAAACCTGTATGATCAAAGAGTCATGTCTGCAAACCCTTGATCTTGGCTGAACAGACTCTCTACTCCCTAATTATTTCTGACAATGCTTTTAAATAATAATGCTTTCCAATTAAAAAGTACTTTTCTTATCTAGTTTTTCACTTTTGATTTGAAAAATATCTTAATTTTAGGTTCTTATTGTATTTCTATTCTGTTTTCATCACAGAACAGTCAGATTTGCAGCTCAGGAGTTGGGCTTCCCCCTTCTTGATAGGTGTCCAATTGATGTTCTCATCCTAAATCTGCTCCCTGGATTGCCTTTTCCATACTTAGAGAGGGAGGTAGCATTGTTATTAGTAGCAGAAGCAGTGACTGCATTCATCTGTGAACCTCTGAAGAGCAGGAACGGTGTCCTTTTCTTCCAGATAACCCCCCTAGTACTAAGGTCTGAGGATGTAGCTAACACCCATAAAGGCTCAATTCCAGTCCAGTCTATCATCAATGGGCATTTGGGTTGGTTCCAGGTCTTTGCTATTGTAAACAGTGCTGCAATGAGCATTCGTGGGCATGTGTCCTTATAGTAGAACGATTTATAGTCCTTTGGATATATACCCAATAATGGGATTGCTGTGTCAAATGGAATTTCTATTTCTAGGTCCTGGAGGAATCACCACACTGTCTTCTGGAGAACATCATTCTCAGCAAACTGACACAAGAACAGAAAATGAAATACCGCATGTTCTCACTCATAGGCGGGTGATGAACAATGAGAACACATGGACACAGGGAAGGGAGCACTACACACTGGGGTCTATTGGGGAGAATAGGGGAGGGACAGTGGGGGAAGGAGCTCGGGAGGGATAGCATGGGGAGAAATGCCAGATGTGGGTGAAGGGGAGGAAGGCAGCAAATCACACTGCCACATGTGCACCTATGCAACTATCTTGCATGTTCTGCACATGTACCTCAAAACCTAAAATGCAATAAAAAAAAATAACTCCATGTCACAGTTGACAAAAATACATTTATTGACCCTGGGGGGGAAAAAGGCTCAATTAGTATTTGGTGAGTGAACGAGTGAATTACCGAATGTATTAATAGAAGCCATTTCAATCTACAATGCATAGTGAGCATTTACATCTTTAAAATACTGTTCCTGTTTATTTAATGTAAGACTGCTTATTTGTTTTCCCGCCTGGTGCTAAGCAGTTAACAGGCAATCACTCATTTCTTTTGATTAACCACAAACCCATGTTCTATTGTTATCTCCATGCTAGGGATGAGAAGACTAAGACTTAGATAAATTCAATATTTTTCCTAAGAACCTTTGAAACAAGAGTCTGCGTTGCAGCCACTTCCTCCTCAACTACCCCTTTGCTACCTTCCGGTTTGGGTCCTGCCCCTATTGTTCTTATAACACCGCTAGCTACAGAGTTCCCAGTGGCTTTTGGATAGGAAATTGGCTTATCCGCTAGTCAAGGGAGACGGAACTTTGAGAATGCATTAGCTTCTTAGGGCAGCCATAACAAAGTAGGTCATAAACCAGGTGGCTCAAAACAACAGAAATTTCCTCTCCCACAGTTCTAGAGGTTGGAAGTCTGAAAACAAGGTCTTGGCAGGGCCATGCTTTACTTCCAGCTGTTACCAGATGTCTTAGTTGCTTTTCTGTTGCTTGCAACAGGATACCTGAAACTGGGTCATTTATAAAGAAAAGACATCATTTTTTACAGTAATGGAAGCTGAGAGGTCCAAGGTCAGAGGACCATATCTGCTGAGGGCCTTCTTGCTGCTGGGAGCACTGTGGAGTCTCATGGTAGCACAGGACATCACATGATGAGGACGTGGAGCATGCTAGCCCAGGTATCTTTTCCTCCTAATATGAAGCCACCATGTCCCCTCCCAGAATAATCCATTAACCTGTTAATCCATCAATGGATTAATCCATTCATGAGGGCACACCAATCACCTCTTCAAGGCCAGCTCTACCTCTTCATACTGCTACCTTGGGGATAAAATTTAAACATGAATTTTGGAGGGGACAAGTCTTCACACCATAGCATCATCAGCCCTTGGCATTTTTTGGCTTGCTGTTGCATAAATCAAATCTCTACCTCCTCTGTCTTCTAACTGTGTTCCCCTTCTCTGTGTGTGTCTGCCTTCAAATTCCCCTCCTCCTGTTAAGAATACAGTCATTCTGGAGTGGGGTCCACTGCCATAACCTCATCTCAATGTGATTGCATTGGGAAACACCCTAATTTCAAATGAGGTCATATTCATAGGGACTAGAATTTAGGGACTTCAACATCTGTGTTACTTTTTTTGTGAGGAGACACATTGAAGCCCCTAATGAACATTGATACACATAAAGTTCTCTTCACATACATAAATAACTCAGGAGGTGGCCATCTGGGGCCCCATGATATCAGAGGGAGCCTAGGCTTCCTCCCCTTCCTGTTCCACTGTTGCCTTCATGTGCCTTTCATCCTGGAGGCCCCTTCAAGGGGCAGGTTGGCTGCTGCACACCAGCCTTCGTGTCTGCTCATTAGACCTCAGGAAAGAGAAAGAAAGAAAGATAGAAGGGAGGCAGGGAAGAAGGAAGAAGTAAAGGAATGAATAAAAGGTGGTTTTATGATGTGAATGTCCCCTCCCAAAACTCATGTTGAAACTTGGTCCCACAATGTGGTGTCGCTGAGAACTGTGTCCTTTAAGAAATGATTGGATCATGAGGGCTCTGTTTTCATGAATGGATGAATTTGTTTATGGATTACAAGATTGACGGATTAATGAATGGGTTATTATGGGAGGGGAACTGGTGGATTTATAAGATGAAGAAGAGAGACCTGAGCTGGCACACCCAGCCCCCTGGCTATGAGATACACTGTACCACCTCAGGGCTCTGCAGGGTCCCCACTAGCAAGAAGGCCCTCACCAGATGCAGCCCCTTGACCTGAGACTTCTCAGCCTCCAGAACTATAAAAAATAAAGGCATTTTCTCTACAAATTACTCAGATTCAGGTATTATGTTATATGAAACAGGAAATAGACTGACACAGGTGGAAAGAAGGAAGGAGGAAAGGTCACGAGTATCCTCTTGGCTGGACCACTCCCCTTCAAGCATCTGGATTAGCTCCCAAGGGCTGATGTAATACAGCATCACAAATTCCAGTGACTTAAACAACAGAAATTTATTGCCACAGTCCTAGAGGCTAGAGATTCAAGGTCAAGGTGCAGGCAGGGTTGATTTTTCTCTGAGATGTCTCTCCTTGGCTTCTAATGGCTACTTTATTTTGCTGTGTTTTCCTCTATGTGTGTCTGTGATCAAATCTTCCTATTGTAAGGACACCAGTCATATTGGATTAAGACCACTGTAATGCCTTACTTTAACTTAATTACCTTTTAAAAGACTTTTATCTTTAAAAAGCCACATTCTGGCTGAGCACCCTGGCTCATGCCTGTAATTCCAGCACTTTGGTAGGCTAAGGCAGGTGGATCATCTGAGGTCAGGATTTTCAGACCAGACAAATGACGAAGTGCTATGTCTACTAAAAATACAAAAGTTAGCCTGATATGGTGGTGAGTGCCTGCAATCCAAGCTACTAGGGATGCTGAGGCATGAGGATTTCTTGAACCCATAAGGCGGAGTTTGCAGTGAGCTGAGAGCATACCACCAAATTCCAGCCTGGGCAACAGAGCAAGATTCTGTCTCAAAAAAAAAAAAAAAAAGTAAGTAAATATATAAAAAGCCACACTCTGAGGTATTGAGTGTTAGGACTTCAACATATGAATTTGGTGGGGAGCAGGAGTGGGCACAGTTCAGGCACAGCAACATCCATCTAAGTCCCATATAATGCTCAGTCTCACATCTCTTTGGTCAGAACTTAAATGACCACACCTATGTGCTGAAAAGGCTAGAGAAGACCGGGCGTGGTGGCTCAAGGCTGTAATCCCAGCACTTTGGGAGGCTGAGGTGGGTGGATCACGAGGTCAAGAGATCGAGACCATCCTGGTCGACATGGTGAAACCCCGTCTCTGCTAAAAATACAAAAAAAATTAGCTGGGCATGGTGGCACGTGCCTGTAATCCCAGCTACTCGGGAGGCTGAGGCAGGAGAATTGCCTGAACCCAGGAGGCGGAGGTTGCGGTGAGCAGAGATCGCGCCATTGCACTCCAGCCTGGTTTACAAGAGCAAAACTCTGTCTCAAAAAAAAAAAAAAAAAAAAAAAAAAAAGAAAAGAAAAGAAAAGAAAAGGCTAGAGAATAGACTTTTTGCTGGGTTGTGGATTCTTTCTTCTCACCAGGAAAAAGAGGAGAATAAATATAATGCACCAAGTGTTCACAAGAGAAATCATGTGGTTCCCCGTCATGCGTTCAACCTGTTAACATCTCTGCAACACTGGGATGTTGGTCATTATCTCCTAAATCTCCCACTGTGACAGTCCCTTCACCAGGCCCTCTATGGTCTGTTCACCGCCATGATCTTATGCAGGGAGGCATTGAATTCTGGCAGTAGCCCAACCAGCCCATGAGTCCTAGGGAATGACTAGGCACAGTGAGTGGGCAGAGCACCCCTTGGCTTTAGCTCTGACCCATGCCGGGTGGGAGCAGAGGCCTTATGGTGTGGGTAGGCCTTGAAGCTGGAGCCTTCCTGTCTCACTCAGTCCCCAAAGCCAAACAGAGTATCTGGCCTCCTGCTATGTTCTGGGCAGTTCAGTAATCTTCAATGTGGTCATTTTGTACCCCAGGGATTGGCAACTTGACTCCAGGCATCTGTGTCAACACAAACCCTTCCTTCATAAACACACAGTATCATCTCAGCATCCCTAGCGCCAGGAGTGACACCTGTGGGCATGCGCCATACTCCTGGGAGATGGAGTGAGCCGTGGTGACCCTGGAGTTCTCCTTGTCCTTCAATGAGCAACCGCACGGTGTATCTGGTACATTCTCTAAAGCCCTCCCTTTCCCGACCTAGTCACAAAAAAATGCTTTGTAGGCTTGGGTCCTGCTGCTTCTGGGGCCTCATGTTCCCACTCACTGAGATGGATTTTCCCAGGGCTCTCACCTCATCACTCTTCTCTCCCTCAAGGATCTCATCCATCAACAAACCTTTAATGTTCAAGACCATGGAGAGAGTGCACATAGGGACCATCCTCTGCCCTGGATTTTCTCCCAAGTTCCCACCTGCCTTTCCAGCTTCCTCATGGACCCCTGCCTGGGAAGCTCCATCTGTCCTGAGGCCAGCAAGCCCATCCCAACCCTTTATCTTCTTTGAAGCAGCTTCTCCTGAATCCTGGGGTCTCCTATGGTAACAGAACATGATGCTTGTCAGTGAGGATCTGAGAGCAAGACTGTCTGTGTTTAAATCCCTGTGCTACCACACAGTAGCTCTCTGAGTTTGAGCAAGATGCTTGACCATTCTGTGAATGTTATTTTCATCTACAAGTGCTTAATGAGAGTCTCTGTTGGAAGCACCACCTTCTCCTAAAAATATTGTGCTTCTTTGGGCATGATGGTGGGTGCCTGCAGTCCCGGCTACTGGGGAGGCTAAGACAGAAGAATCTCTTGAACCCCGGAAACAGCCATGAGCTGAGATTGTGCCACTGCACTCCAGCCTGAGTGACACAGTGAGAATCTGTCTCAAACAAACAAACAAACAAACAAAAGAATATTGTGCTTCTTATTTATTTATTTATTTATTTGAGACAAAGTTTTGCTCTTGTTGCCCAGGCTGGCATGCAATGGCACGATCTCAGCTCATCACAACCTCCACCTCCCAGGTTCAAGCAATTCTCCTTCCTCAGACTCCCGAATAGCTAGGATTACAGGTATGTGCCACCACGCCCAGCTAATTTTGTATTTTTTTTAGTAGAGACAGGGTTTCTCCATGTTGGCCAGGCTGGTCTTGAACTCCTGACCTCAGATGATCCACCTGCTTCAGCCTCCTGAAGTGCTGGGATTACAGGTGTGAACCACTACGCAGGCCTTGTGCTTCTTATTTTGAAAGCTTAGAGTTTAATTTCAGCCTCCTCGTCTGGGCATTCACAGCCCTCTATATTGTCCTAACTGGATCTATCTTGGTCTGCCATGAATACTCTATACACTAGCAGCTCTTCTACCTGGCATCCCCTCCTCTCCTCTTCCCACAGCCACACATTTAAATCCCATGGACTCTTCAATATTTCAAATGACCTGCTTCCACAAGTGTCAGTGTTCGTCTGAACAAGACCACTCTCTCCATGGTCTCTCCTTCTTCTGAACCATCTCCAACCCCTCTCCCCACCATACCTGAAACACCTGTTACCTCTACCATACCTTGGCCCAGACACATTCGTGTAGCCACCTGATCCCCTTGCCCTGGCCAGCAGGCATCCACCTCAGTGTGGTGATAGATATGTGTTTAGTCAGTAATAACAAAGAACTCAGGTTTGTGATTAATTTATTTTTTAGAAATTCAAGCCATCTCATGTTAGGAGGCAACATCTTCACTCTCATTCAGTTGCAGGCCACTTACCTTGCTTGGAAGGATGGAGCTCCAGAAGCCCAGTGGGAAGGCAGTTGTGCCAAGTGCAGCCACAGGAGTGGTTCCTGTGTGAAAGCCGTGGAGCTTCGGTCTCAGCAGAAAGCAATCAGCATGTACAAGGAGCCCCTGCAGGACCCGTGTGCATGGTGGGCAGCGCAGATGAAGTCCTCTGGGCCTCATTCCTGCTCCCTGCCACCTGCCACTCACAGCCACTTGTGCCACAAGGCCTGACCCGGAAGTCGTCACTCACCAACACCTTCTGCACATCTTATGCCCCGGAAAGACTAAACCACTTGTACTAATCTCCCCTGAAACATTTGAATGAAGCAGTTGCTTTATTTAAAAACTCCATAAGATAGCTCTGGAATATCTTTCATTTACCGAACTAATAATTGCAAAAACAATATCAAAAGAAGTTACCATTTACTGATTAGCACCTGAATGTCAGGCATCCCAAATTTCTGTCTATTTCTCTTTGTCTTCACAACAGCACAACAATTTCGGGGGTCAGAGTACTATTATGCCCATTTATTTTGGACAAGGATATTGTCAGGGAAGACGTCACTTGTGTAGAAAGAGTTAGCAACGCCCACACTACTTAAATTATTTGTTTGGTTTTTGTTTTTAAGA